CTATTGAAAAGATCTATATATATATATATATATATATATATATATATATATACATGATATGGCGTAATTGACTAATTGAAGATAGTAATGAAAAATAGGATAATGAAAAATGACAGTTGAAGAGGAAGACTGGATCATATTTGTAATAAAACTTTTATTTAGTAGTATTTGTAGAGCTCGAGATATAATTTATCCATCAGACTTTCTAGACTATCCATAATCATCCATAAGACTTTTATCCATTAAAATTTCTACGTTAAATAAATTTCGCATAATAATATTAATGAGGGCAGGCCATGACCTGCCAATACAAAAGCCAAATTAAAAAAAAACGATTGAATTGTTCCCAACGGACAGTTAGGAGCAAGAGAAGAGATCCATGGTTCGTGATTTGCAGAAAAATAACTTAGCCAAAAATAAAGCCAACCCCCCCCCCAAGGTTTGAAAAATGCGTTGGCAATCCCGAATCACCGACAAGACTGTGAGAATTAGTAGAACCATGTAACTGAGACATATTTGTGGTACGAAATTTAAGAATAAATAGTTATAAATAGATTTTTGTTTTCGATTAGGCCCGACAGTGAATTCATGAGTTTACATTTGTATTGAAATAAAAAGTTAGCAGTTACATTGGTTGATAATGAAAGAATAGAATATTTTATGTTCCATTTTTATTGAAATTAACTAATTGATTTTTAAAAAAAATTGCTAAATGATTTAATTTATCTACAATTCTCTTAATAATGATTAAAAAAATAAGTTTAAGAAATTAAAGTAATTTTAAAAGCTAGGAAATATGTAATGCATATTGTGACACAATAATTTATGTATATATTCTAAAGGTAGGATTTCATCTGATCCTTACTGGTTACAGATAATCTTTAAATAATTTCATGCAGTAAATATTTTTATGAAGTAGTAAGTTGATTTTTTAAACAAAAGTGTGACAATTCTTTTGCAATTTAAACATCGGTGCCCTGGCTTATAAGAATTATGTTAATAGTATGATTGTTTTGTTTTTTTTAAAAAATTAGTTTATTTGAAATTCTAGCTATTTAAAAAAGCAAATACAGTATTTTTATTCTAAACTCCATGGAATGTGGACAATAAACTAATTGTTGAAATAGAAAGAAGTTAATGGAAAGTAAAATTAGCCGATTTGTACCATGCTTGACGTAATACACGTACATAAGATCATATGCAAAGCATATCATATCATACATTATATACATCAACATATCATACAAAGAGTTGCCAATTTTGAATTTGAAAATCTTTTTATGGTAATTATTGCATAGTTTCTAAATGAATGAAAACTTCTTCCTTAAGATTTTTTTTAAAACCAGTTTTGTTATTTTTATTCTGACATAATTTGAGAATGATTTTTCAATTTAATTGCGTCACATATCTCATTTTACGTCTGTTTGGAAACGTTTTTAAAGAAATATACGTATTTTACGTACTGAAGATGCATTTTTCGGACGTATTTTACGTACTAAAGACAATAAACTTTTAATTAGTTGAATGTATTGAATAGAACAAATTCATATTATATTGATTGCAGAACAACACTCTATGAAATTTATTTGTTTTTGTTTTTTTTAATATTTTAAAAGATTTATTGAATGTATAAATGTTAAATTTCATTTTTTTTGTCTGAGAATTATTTTTAAGAAACTGAAAAATATATATTTTGTTAACATAACATTAATATATCTAATTTTGTTTCTTGTGAAAATACAACCATTACAAAAGGTACTTATTGCATCTAAAACTAATTAATAAACTCATTTGAGAAATGATATCAATTAATAGCATCATTTACCTGAAACATTCGATAACAAAAAGATTGTTGATACAATTACAAAGCTTCTAGGAGTCATTTTTAGTGCAAAGTTTTGAAATGACGGAAAGAAAGATGTTATTTTATACTCATTCTGTTTTAGCGTTAAATAACTTCATAAAAAATACTGTGACAATACAAATCGCATAAAACAAACACCTACAGGTACTTGATCCAGTTTAATTTTCTGTAAACTAGACAGACTTCTATTGTGGAAGAAATAAAACTCATTATTGTGCTCAGAAAACGCAGTATTTTGAACTTTTTAAATTGTGTTTTACGTTTAAATAAAGTTTAAATTCATGTTACAATTTAATTGAAAAGTAAAATTAAGTAATGTTTTTTTAAGTTTAATTATTTGGTAAAATATAACAATGGAAGTTTCCTCTGATAATTAATTTTTTCTACTAAAAAAAGAAATTAATGCTATTTAAAAACAATTTCTTGATTTAAAACTTGAGTGTTAATAAATATGAAATTTATAATGTTTTCTTTATGTAAACAAATAGACATTTATTTATTATTAATTATATTCACATTAAGGTAATAATGCTTAAATAGCCTCAGTTTGGTATAAAATAGTCTAAAATTTTGTCCAACAGTGGCTATTGTTCCAAAACAGTTCAATTTTGACAAAATGAAGTTTTTTTATTGTATTTATCGTCAAAATTTGCGAGGACTCAAAATTTATCTTTTATCAGTTTTTATACATCTCACTAATAATGTGCGAAAAGTTATGTTATTCAAAGCAATGTTATATAAATTATGTTAACCAAATAATTTTCTTTTTTATTTAAGATTGATCTAAGTCTAAAAATGCATTTTCATTAGCCTATAACGGGTGATAAAATTTTTCCTTTTTTTAAAAATGATAATTTTGCAATAAACTATTTTTTTCAAATACATTATATTATTTGAGATACTTGAAGATATTAAAATAGTTTATAATTTTTAGCACTAGGAGAGCTGGTTGGAATCATTTGATAGTCTTCTTATGTGTTTTTTGCCATTTCTTATGTAATTTTTAAAATACACGTGAGTTTCGAAGCTAATTTTTTTTTTACTTTTCCGAAATTGTTTCTGAGTATACTATATCAAAATTTCATGCTATTGTGTTCATTAGTAAAATAAATAACATTTTAAATACCTAAAACTACTCCAAAAGGGGTCATTTTGACGCCTATAAGAAAAACATTCATTTTGGAAGTTTTATGTCAGTTTTTAAATTTCAAAACTGCAAATAGTATTATGAAGATAAATTGTAGAACAGAGATTAGGGGGGATCATCGCGTTACAAAATGTCGCGCGTAACAGTTTTCGAGAAATTAAATTGTTTCTTTATTTAAATTTCCGAAGTAGCTTAATTTACTAAGCTACTTCGTTCCTATTGAATTAAAATTTCGTTATTGCGTCTAAAAAATTATTAGAAGATGTTATATTTGTTATAATCCTGAACAAGATAGTATTGTTGGGGACAGTTATTGTCATGTAAATAATATTGGAAATTTATTGTATAATGTTCAAGTAACATAACTTTGCTTTCAACTGGCAAAAAGTCCAAAAACTATTTTTTAATCGTTTTTTTATTTGTGTACATTGAAAAAACGGGCAAATGAGTAACATTTCAGAAGAAGTTTAGTACTCCAATTCTGGAACCACATCTAAACTCATCACAGCTGCATTGTTGTCGCTTGCTTCAGTTAAAGTTGCATCACAGATCGGCTGTCAGCTATATATATACAGTAAGGTGCCCCATTTTAGGCGTTCAATAAATTTTTAACTTTTAAAATACTTGACCTCCTGTAATTTTAACTTTATCTCACTGACTCATTGAGCGAAAAAAAACTTCCGTTTAAAGCATATTGAAATACCTACTAAAATGTCATTAAAATTGATATTTTGTTGAGAACATTGTTATTTAAACACTATTGGTCCCTATAAAACTTTTGCTTGAAGGTTTATTAAAAAAAAACATAATTAGAATTAATTGGTTAGAATTTTTAAAAAAATCTTAAGATTTATAACAGTTTTCAAATCTTCGATACTCTGCTTTTTATTTTATCGATTAGACATTTATGCCTGTTTCAAAGTAGTAAAAAAAGGAAATAGGGGTAATCTAGATAGAAATGTTAGCTATTTTCTTGGTGTTGAAGTAAACTGAAACTTTTACAGTGTATGAAGTTGTAATCACATTTTTATGTTTACTGTTCTTTATTTTTTCTAATATATTCGCGCTAATTACTTAAAACAATTGGTATTCTTTCAATTTTTTTTCCATTATAACTGCAGCTCTGTGTCTAGAGTGCTAATTTTCGGACGCATTCTATAAAACTTTCGGTAGGAACAACATTTCTCAAAACTATTTAAAATTATACATGTCCTGATTATTTGTTTTATATACATATACATAGATAGCAGCACATCTTCAAAAGAACAATGATTTCCCTGTTCAAAATGGCGATAAGAAATGATTTAGATGATAAGATTCTTAAAATCAATCATTTTATGACTAATAATATTTATTAGATAAAAATTATTTTAAAATACGTATTTTTGCATTTCTTGATATTTTTTTTATTTCAGTTTGAAAGGGTAATGGTTTTTCCCTGCGCTTTCTGTGCATTACGACAATGTTTTATCTCAATAATATTATTAAAAAATAATTTAAACATGTAATTTGGCATACTTTATTATTAAAATAAATTCTCTGTTTCATAATTTATTTGTCTAAAAAGAACTATAAAAATTTCTGTCTCCTTTAATAATTTCCCCATAGTAAACTCAGGATGGATTTTTTCAGTGGTCCCCAATTCAAGTAAGAAGTAGAAGATCTCAGAATACGATATTTGATCTAACTAAGCCGTATTTTCCCAAAATGTCAAGCATGTGATGAAAATTTTAACACGCCGAAAGAAATTCTGGTAAAGTTATCGTGCTGTATGGTAATGACATTTCTGGTAAAAAAAAATCATAATTCTAAAATCAAAATATACAGCATTTAAATCATGTATATTGAAAATTTTTCTGTTAAAATGGTAACGTTATACCGGAAATCCGGGATTTCAAAATTATATGTTTTCTTACCAATTATTCAGAAAAAATACAAAAATGAAAATTTTTCTTTACCAATTAAAAGGCTTTAATGACATGGTTTAAGGAGTCAATAAACTAGCAAATTTTACCACATTCATCAAATTTTATCGCATATTATAAAACCATATAGTCAATTTTACCAGAATCATTACCATAGCACTTTAGTAAAAACTACCATGCATTTTGGTGTTACCTTAGAGACTAAAACATTGAAAATTTTACCACATTCTGGTCGTTTTGACCGCGCTTTGTTTCCTAATGTGCCTATGAACCGTCCTGCACGTAGAAACAGCCTCTGAATTTTTTTAGGTGGAAATTTTTTTATTAGGTGATTTTTTTTAGGATCAAAAGCTAAACAGAAGACTATCAAAATTGAATGAGAGAAAAATGGTCCGACAAATCGCAATTTTTGGTTATGAGGAGAAGAGGGTCCCTTGAGATGTTAAAAGGCATCTTGCTTTTACAAGTATTTTAGGGACTAAATTTCATGAATTAGGTGCTATCTGATGTACTAACTTGTAATTCATTAACTAACACAAGAATAAATTTGCAAGTGGGGTGATTATTGAGTAGGGGGAGGTCTGCAATATTACAAACGTTATAAAGAAATGCAAAACATCTGTAACTTTCGCTTCGTATAAAATAATTCCTTGGCATCTAGTCTGGTAAACATACACTATGCATGTTACCTAAGTATTGTCTTAAGATTCTGTTAAAAAATTTATTTATCTTTGCTAAAGAGAAAATACTTAAGGTGTCCCTTGTCAAACATACTCACATTTTACGTATGAATAATTTCTCGAATATGATAATTACTTCTGAAAAATCGGAAAAACGTTTTTGCTTACTTCTTTTTTACTAAGAGGGTACATAATACTGAAATTATATTTTTGAAGAAAATATTAGTTCTGTTAAATTTTGCCCCGTGTAAAAAAGTGAAAAAGGATTGTTTTTAAAATGCTGTGATAATCTTTTTCCGAAGTTGTGTATTCTTCTATAAAATTTGACAGTGATTAAAATATTAAGATAGCTAGAGTCAGAAATTCGATTATTAATTTATTTTTAAATTAAAGAGAATCAAGTAATCATTTGAACGATATTTTATTTCGCATTGAACAATTATAAATCCTTATAGCAAAGATTTTGAATTCTCGCTACCCACAGTGAAATGTTTTGTTTTTTTTCTCACGAAAACGGAACTGTTTTTAACTGGAATATACAACTGAAGTTTGAAAATACTTTAAATTTGTTTAAGTTAAAAAATTTACTTTTTTTGGTTAAGTAAATTAATTTGGTTATTGAAAAACAGAGTTTTCACATGATGTTCTAAGTACTGCAAAGCATGTAAATGTGAAATACAAATAATTAATTTTATTTTAGTTATAAAATTTTAGATCTTAAGTTATATGGAATTCAGATGAAATTGTAATCTGTTTCTGAATATAAAATCTACACAGAATGAAATGCTTCTTGGTTTTATTCAAATCATAATTTAATACATGAAAACTGTATCGACTGTTACAGCATCACTTTATAAAGTTGTTGCTTGATTCTTGATCTGCAAAAGAGAAAAATACTTTTAGCATGAAGAAAAGTTCGTAAACATGTCTTTTTTTCATTTTGAAATTTGTGTGCTTTACCTTTTTCATATTTCATCTTTAATTGGCTGTAATAAATGAAATTTATTTTAAAAATATAGTCAGAATTATAAATTCATCAGGTTTTTTAATCTCAAATACGATAATTAAACTACACGAATCCTCTTTAAGCATGATAATTATACTCCAAAAATTTTAATTTCTGAAAAAAGTGCTTATAAAGACACAAATTCTAAATCTCTATACAATGTTATTTTTGCATTATATTTTCTCAGAAGCCTAGAATCATTCATTTAAAAGATTGTTTTAAGTGGATTTTGAAAAAAAATTTATAAAAGCATAAAGTAAATTTTAAATAAATCTATTATAGTATAATTACTTTGGAAAACAAGTATTTGTTGCATCTGAACAAATACTTGATCTTGCCTTATTCGGATCTGGATTTGAAGCTAGTTTAGCTCCAA